CCAAACTAAGTTTTCCAAAAAGACGTCATTAGAAACTGGAACAAATTTTAGTAAATTACTAATTTTTTGATACTTACTTTTTCAAAGTGTTTTGATTTTTATCTTTTGACATTTTCAGGCTAGTAGATATACCTGTCGATCAAATTGCAAGCTCTTTGCAAACTCTGCCAGAGACCTTTGCTGGAAGCAAACTTGTGTGAATAAACAGCTGGATATTGAGAAAAATATAGAACTAGTTGCAAATAATCAGAAGAACGTGGCTGTGTTCTCTTGTAACTAAATGCTAAGCACTGTATCGAAATATCCACAATTTTTGCACGATTAGCACAATTGTATGGTACTGTTTTCGCCAAATTTGAAACATGCAGCTTAGTACTGCGGTAATCTTCTGTCAAAATACAAAGAATCAATTGCAAATCATCTCAAGAACCATCTCAAGCTGGTTAAGAAGTACGAGTTTCGCAGTTTACACAACACGAAAGTTTTCTGAAGGTTAAAAATACAAGACATACCAGATGCCTACTCAGAAATCTGACGCTGAGAAGCTTTAATCTGTTTGTTTTCGAATAGTTTGTTCGAACATTTTGTCGTGTTTTGAGAGTAGTCATGTACGAAGTGTTCCCTAAACGTTGGAAGCAAGTATCTAAAAAATGTTTTCAACGCATCATTACAGAAAGTTCTGAGAATATTCTTTGTGGCAAGCTGTTGTCATAGCTTCTTGAACAATTCATTTTGTCCTAATTTTCTCATAAGAGGTTGCCTTTTTTAAATTTAAAATCTAGAGATATTTTGTTAATATTTCAATGTTGAAAAGTTTGGTAATGGATGTTTGCATGCTTTCATAGCAATTACCGTTTGTGCTAAACATTTAAGGTATACCTCTATTTTAGAAGATAATTCACATTACGATCGACTTAACTGCTTTCAGCTACATTTATTATCATCACTCCGCCACAGAGAAATTCTCTTAAAATACACTAATAATAAATATTTTCCAGTGTTTGCGTTTTATAAAATGTATTTTAACAAGTATTCTGTAATCATTAGGAACCCATTATTCTTACTAGAATTTTAGAATGATGTCTTAAGAGTTAAGTTATGAATGCTCAGAGTTGATCGAAGCTTGGTCGAGGCTAAAAATGTGAATTTACGATAGTATGCAATTCGAAAGGCCTATGATATAACTTTAAGGTAAGAGCTTGAGTAGAGGACTTCTAGGTGTAGCGCAATGTGGTATGTTTTTAGTGCCAAGACTAGAGACGAGCCAGTAAGAGAATTGGTTACGTCGCATTCTCAGATAGCAACATTTAGTTAATGAAACAGTTTGATGGTTACCATGTGGCTGTTATTCATCTCATGCAGTATATTCTAAGTTCAACGGTAGCTTTGTATGGCTGTATACGATTCTTAGGCGCTTTTATTTTTTAAGCGTTTTAATTACCAAATTGCTTTAGCCTAATAAAAGTTATTTTGTTTTGTTGGAGATTGAGCTCCATAATTTACTACATCTATTAGATCCATATATTCAGTCATGCAGCGTCGACTTTTTAAATTAGAATTTTCTTTAGTTATATGGCCATTCATTTATGGAAAATATTTCATCAATTAACGATGGATTATCACCCTAAAATTTATTTATATTTCCTTTGAGATACGATGGTCCAATGTTACTTCCAAAATTTCAACATTCCTCTCTCTTTTGAAAGTAAAATCTTAGATTTTACTTTTCGATTCCTCAAATTTGGATCGGTAGGTATTAAGGATCATAGTATTTTTTTAATTGCCGTTGAGCACCGTAAATTTTTACAAATCTATTTATTACTTGTGGCTGCTTCTAATGGTTATTCTTTGTCGCCTGTTAGTTCATTTATATCTGTACTTGACAACCAAACTGTTTTGTCATCTTCATACTTTCACAAGTAGCTTTTGTTTCTTACCTCGGAGGATCAGACTGTGGTGTCAACGTAGGGTAAAATACATGGAACGAGGATGAAATAAGTGAACATCGAGGTAGAAAATTTCTGTTAAGAGGTAAGCAGTGTGGTTTGCAGACAGTTCAGTAGAACTTACTGAAACGATAAAAAGTTTAGCTATAAAACAAACAGGTCAGTTGTTAGAACCCTGTATTCTGAGTGGCCAATGAATTTGGAAAATTTTGAAGCTGTAAAGCAGGTGCTTTTGTCACTTAATAGCCTAGATGTAGAGAATAAGAAGGCAATCTCTCTGAATCTGTTATGTTTTTGAAGTCATAATGTCCTTAGAAATTGTAACTTTCAACGAAAAACATTTACTTTGTAGAAGGTGTAAAAGTTGTTCACGCAAGATGGAGTTACTTTTCAATTTAAAATTTTTCTGCTTTCAAAGCAGATTTAATTTATTTCTATGATTTAAGCACTCCTTTTCTATTTAATATAAGTTTGAGTTCCTCCAATTTTGACTGCAAAAGATAGACTTGCAAGCAATCTAAAAGTTCTAGCGCAGTTTTATGTTTATATTTTTCCTTGTAGTTTGGAAGCATGACACCTTTCAAGCCATAGTTCTTAAATGAGTTAGAATTCTTAAAAAATAGCGATTTCAAACTCAATGATATTTTCTTTTGTCCATATCTAACGTCCAAACTCTAGCTCGTTCAACATTTCTAACATTAAATCATTAAATCAGATCGTGGAGCATATGGTAGATTTTATAGAAGAAAGCAAATTCTAAATCATCGCCAGATTCAAAGCGTCATGCCGCTAAATCATTCGGATCCGCGGCAGATGAAAGAAATTTCATAGCCAAGATGAAAGTCAGGTTTAGATTTTTAGCAGCAATTTGAAGAAGATGCTTGCTTGCACTGTAGGGTATAAGTGGCTTAACTGTACTTTTAATTGAAAGCTGTTAATCAATTCAATTATGAAAATAAAAGTGTCATTAACTTTTTGGTTACAGAATTGTCTGTTGAGAACTTGTTGGGATGCTTTACTACGCTCCCTGCCTCAGCTGTCTCCATTTTAGATGCTTATTTTTTACAAAATCTTAACAATTATCGAGTTCTGCAGTTTCCATGATGGGAAGAACTCTTAAAATTTTAATTTCAAGAAAATAGCTTCGTTGTTTACTTTCATTGCAAAAATAGTAAAATTTTAAAATCATTGCAGATTCTAAAAAATGTATCTTTGTGAATGATAGAAAAACATATTTGGCTCTTTATAACTGGCAAAAAGTCCGAAATGTTTAGAGATTCTTAAAGAGAAGAATGCAGCCGTCTTTATATCAGATTCCGATTCAGATTTTGAACGCCCTAGGTCGAGCCGGGTTAGTTTAGATCGAGTGTAGTATGAACGCAGACCTGGAACAAACCTGGGGCAAACATTGGGCAAATCTGGGCCAAACCTGGTGCAAACCTGGGGCGAGCCTGTGGCAAACCTGGGTCAAGTCTGGTTCACACGTGTGAAGCAGGAGCTGAAGCAAGCGAAGTAGGCATGTGCATGGATGAAGCAAAGCCTTGACCGTTCACACACGCGCAAGCAAACTAATAAAATCTGATAAAAAATATAGGCTTCTTTGATCGGCTTCTCACGAATCATACATAAACAATTATGTGGTCTGTGATATAAACAAAATTGGACGCAGAAGGTTTACTTTCATCAGGTGATAAATTAGTAGACGAAAATGAGTAGACGAAAGCAGCTGCAGAGGAAAACAGCCCCGGAGGGCTCAATCAGTAGGTCAAATGCATGTCATGTGTTCCTGAAAGTAAAAACTGGACCTTAATCTCTGATTCTGGGTTGCGTAAAATGTACTCTTTTCTCAGACTTTGTAACCCTATTCTCAGGAATATTCGAGCTTGATCAAGTTTTCTTGAAACCAATTAATGTAAGAACCATTCTATTTCTTACACTTTTGTCGAGTCATATTAAAGAGCAGAATTCATTAAATTTGATTTTAACAACAGTCCCTTACAGTTTTGGATATAGAATAAGAAAATAAGACAACTGTAAAACTATAAATGCAACATATATTGCTTACTTCATAACACTAGGTTCAATGTTATTTTATAAAGAAATGGAAAAGTTATGACACAGTCACTATATTTATCAACGCCAGTTTAATGGTGATGATTGGCCGAATAGCCTGATTTGGAACCTCATTGGCTACTCGACGATTTTAGTGCCTGGTATCTTCATAATTCGGATTGCAAAGTATATAAGAAACTATTACAATTACGGATCACAATTGCTACTACCACCAAGATCTGCACTAGAGGCCGTTTAACCTAGAGGCCATAAAACCTTCCAATGAGTAGAAACTTGCAAAGATTTTTTATCTTTCTTAATTTTCTTATCTGGAATTAAAACAATAAACAGGACTAGATGCTACTTCAAAATTCGTGGTACTTCAATAGCCATTGATCTACCAAAATAGCTGCAACACCATGTCAGTGAATTCCTACCCTCTTTTTGGTTACTCTGACTGTAAAAAGTAAAAAAACAACCCATTTTTCAAGATTCTATATTCTATAATTCTAGCTTTCCGACCAACCTCTCTTGGAGTTTTTCCGAACTCGCATCATATACGTTTGTCGGAGCCTGCCGGGAAAGCAGCTAACGGTTTCAAAAGTAGTTTTTTTGTTTCTATCCCTAGAAACCTTGTCGGACTTATCGTAGAGAGCAAGGTATTTTCTAACAGCTTCTGCATGTTTTTCTTCCAACACGTTATATTTGTTGCATGCAATTGTTATTTTTCCACGTGACTCTTTCTCAGTTCATAATGCGTGCGCCCCGATGCGCGAATGCGAAGTTTTCTTGTTGTACGAAGCCCTGATTCCGTTTATACTACCAAAGTCCGTTTACACTACCAAAGTCCGTTTATACTACCAAATCTTATTACTTTCACTATATACTATCAATTGCTTAATCAACATCATCATCATCATCATCATCATCATCATCACATCATCATCATCATCATCATCATCATCGTCATCATCATCATCATCATCATCGGTCGTGGGTGCCTGAACCCACAACAACAGGACGCCAAACCTTCCGATCGCTCATAGCACTCTGGATCTCATCGATGTGATAATATAATATGAAATATAATACCTACACACGAAGAAACTGAACCCTGAAAGCTAACAACAGAGCAGATGAGAATGTTATCACTTCAGCTAAATGTGACGGGTACCACAATGCGTATCAACAGTGTTGACACTACCACAGAACATTCTGTGACACTACTCAGGAACATTCTAGCTGGTCATCAATTTTTTACATAAAAACCTTGTGTGGACAGGCAGACTTTAGTCAATTACTTTGGAATGGCACAGTTTTGCACACTTTGGTTTCTGCTCGGAGCCCTTTTCCTTCCTGCTTCTTCATACAGAACTGGTAAGATCTATAAGATTTTGTTTCTTTTTAAATTCATTCCTATTTTCAGAGCAATTAATATGAGAATAAATGTAAGTAATAAGAAAGTAGGAAGAGTAAAATGACAAAATCGATTGAACTATCATTTCCAATTGCTAAAACTTCCCTCTGCCAAAATATGAGTTGGCATGTGGACACCTTTCAAAAATATGAGCTTAGCCCATGGCACCTACAATGATAGACCAGACTTGTTGATCTCATCAGAGCCTTCATTTCCGGGTGACCATTCTTTAGGCGATGGCTGCAAGAACAGGCTCGACCCTCGGGATAACATGGCGATTGACTATAGATACAGATTCATTATCCTACGAGAACACACGTTCACCACTCTCCCTTTATTGATGGCGGGGCCCTGAGTTTTCAAGCTCCAGATAACAAGGGCGGTGCCAAGAAATAAGAGTGAAAGGGGCTCAATTTGCAAAATTGTTTTACTAAAAAATTTTTTTTGAATAACTGACTAAATTCACACAAAGACATTCCTTTAATATTAGGTCTATAGATGGATTTATTGCAGAGCTTTTTCCCGATCGGTTTTCTTTATGAAAAAACAATCTTTTGGTGGTACAATAATTAATAATGGCTTATTGAAACATACTAAAATTTTTCGTCGGATACTCTTTAGAGTATGAACGTGAGAACAAAGATCAAAATCTTAAAGCTAGGAAATATTTGCACCCAGTCATGGATTCACTAGGTATATAGGCCAATCAGAAACGCGAGCACATTATTGTAAAGGTTGCCAAATCAGTGCCGTTTGCCTATTTAAAATATTACAGATGGTTTTCTCAGGTGGAAACGAGCTACATCTATCTAAACAATAGTGGCTTTTTCAAATTTATGTAGATAGATTCCAAAACTGCTATATGGAATTACAATAGGCCTTTACCAATTATCATCAACATCTCGCTAATATAGTTAGTCGCAAAAATCTGGGTATGCAGGTAATGCTGCCCAATAGCAAAATCGCATCTTTTAGCCGTTTCTTTATCTGCAGGACTGAGGAGGATATTCTCTTTGGATTGATCTAAAGAACAGAATCCTAAAGAAAGAATGTTGCAAGCCATCCAAAATCACCATATTTGTCGCAAAAAGCGTTTCTAATGTTTAAGCCTTGGTTCTATTCTCACTTTTTCAACATAGAAAAATTCAAGGCAGAAAAACAAGAAGACAAATGGCAACTGTTACAAAGTCCAGAGAAAAACAGAAATTCAAAAGCGATAGTGGAAACCTCGTTTCATATCTCAGAGCTGAGTTTCAGAATAAGGTCATTTGAACCATCGCGTCCCACATTCAATTCGCTTTCTTAATTGAAGTAAAGGGCAGTAGAAATTATACCATCGTACTGCAAAACAGTGAAACAGTTTTTTGGCGGTACAAAACTTGAAAATGACTTTGAAAAAAACAAACATTGTTCAATATATTGGCTAAAAGCTTTCGTCTGACACCCCTCAGAGCATAAGACGTCAGAATAAGGTTCTGATAGAGCATGTTGAAAAATATATAATATATACCCAGTTGCGGTTCGAAAAAGGCCAATCAGAAAGAGTAAAAATCCTCAGAATGCCACTTGGCCAATTCGTGCTGTTCTGAGCCAATCATAGACAAGATAGGGCTTGTGTATTCTAGGGAGGCCATACATTTGTGGTCGTTATCTGCATCAAAGGTCTTATCCTATCATAAATTATCACTATCCTATCACTTTTTAGTTGACCAGTTCCAACAAGCGTTTTTGGAGTTTCCGCTCTCGTTTGGCCGATTTGTCCTGTGTTTTGACATCATCCAATAAAGCAAATTTTCTTTAGGCACGCGGCACTGATTGGTCAACTATACCGGTCTTGTGCTTGTATTTTTCTGATTGGCCTATTTCGATCCACAATTGAATGAAAAATGCAACATCGGTGAGAGGGCTATGTTGTGAGATGGCTCTGCGTCGAAGATTTCTCGGCGACAACATTAGCTTACCCTCAGTATCAAAAAAAGCTTTTAGGAAACTTTTGAACAAGTTAGCTAATGATTTAGAGCAATTTTTTGTCGGCACATCTGTCTTTAGAGAAAAATACAACCTCTGATAATGTGCTAAGCATTGCTTCTTCTCCAGCTAGAATTTGTTTTGGTACTCTATAGAAGCTGTATATTTTCTTTTTGATATCAAGAAATTGCAGACACTCTGAAAACTGTCAATTAAGAGGGCAAGCACGAGCTGGCTAAGTTACATTGACCCCAACGAGTTTCAAGGAACGATGGTTGTTGCAACAGGAAGCTCTAGATATGTCTCTTTTGCTTAATCTGGCAATCAGTTTGATTATTGCAAAGCAGAAAGAAAGAATTACTAGTGAAAAAATCATGCTAGAAAATATATCTTGTTTCGGAATGGTCACAACAACTAATCAATTTACCAAAACATTCACTGTCACTGACTCTCCATTTCTGCACATCATGTCTAAAAAGATATACACTCTACAATGTGACGTCGACTGTGCAGTCACAGCTCAACAGTGCAGTAAATGAAAGGATCTTTTGCGTGCGTCAGATATGTTAATAAGGCAAAAAATGTTGCTGATTGCCATCTGTTTCACACGTCAATAAGACTTTATAGGGCTCGTTGGAAATTTTGAACCGATCCTTAGCTCCCGTTGAATTTGTTTGCCAACTGCTTTATCAGCAAATAGTGTCTGTATACTTTGATTTTTGATAAAGAGGATTTTTCAAGGATTAAAGAGCAAAAAGTTTATTTCGCTTTCGAGTCGGTTTACGTGTCCAATTGTGTTCGCTGAAAATTGATCATTAGTTATCATTTCTAGAACGACCTGTCGACATTTCGTTTAAAAAAATGGCGTGTCCATTCATTATGTCTTGAAAGGGCACCAATGGTATATTAGTAGAATATCTGAGATCTCTTTGAGATTTTTGACATGGCTTAACAAGGTCATTCCTATCAAGGCACATTCAAAACATAAAAATGAAGTTGGTGCTATTCTGTGCAGTAAAACGATGCCAAAAAACTCTTCATTCTCCCAATTTCAATACCAAGTCTATCGTAATTTATAGAAATTTGAGCTTTTTTAATAAACGAATAGTAACTGATCGATTTTTTATATCGTAATCCAAATTTTCAAGTCTGTAAGCATAAGTCTTTTGAGCTCAATTAAAATTTTATTCTTGTCTTTCACAGCCTGCTGAATTTCTTTTTATGTTTTCAGTAAGCTGAGTCTCGTGTTCCTTATAAACTATATAGTTTTAAATGTGCTTTTAAAGAAGTCTTTTAGAATTATTTGGAAATTCTGAGCTGCGTTGGAATATCCCGATGTCAGTATGAATATTATAAAAGAGCGATGCAACAAAATTTTGGCCTGCTAAGACTATATTTACCTTTGATCGATTTATCTTGCTTCGAAATCTAGTCTCTTCAACAATCATTTACAAACTTTTTTTTCGATTGGCAAACTAAAAATGTTTCAGTGTTAGATAAAAACGATTTAAAATATGCAAAACAACTTTTCTTTTTTTCAGTTCAAATCTGTGAGGGTCGTTCCGGGTCTCTAAACTGCAATGCTGACGAGAAAATGCAAATAGTTTATGCAAGTTATGGACGACACACAAGGCATGTATGTGGGAGTCATATTACTGCAAACACGAACTGCCACGCTGGAAATTCTCTAGCAGTGGTAAGACGACATTGTGAAAGTAAGCGGTCGTGTCATCTGTCTGCCGTTAATTCTTGGTTTGGAGATCCCTGTGTTAGTATCTATAAATACCTGGAAGTAAGATACAATTGCCTTGCTATAGGTAAATGATCACCATTATTTCTCATTCTCGATTTTAAATATTCTTGTGGATTTACTCTTATCGAAAGGTAAATTCGTTATAAAGATGCCTGTTTGTACACAAAAACTTGTCTGCGAAAGTCTTCTGATTACAGTATGGTTTGTATACTATAATTACAATTTTATTAACAAAATATTTGAGAAAAACAAAAATGATTGTTCATTCCCTCGAATATATAGATCCGTGTTTGACAAACTATCTGCGTGAAGACAACTGGCAAAGAAGCCTGAAATACAATGCATCGATCAATACGCCCAAACACTGTGACAATGCTGTTGCGAATAAATGGTTCAGGTTTGTCAGCAAGGCAGGCATTACAATTCCCACCGCTTGTCCAAAGCCGTATGCTTGCGGTAAATACAATTGCTTTTCAGTTAAACCCTGGTTCTATGTCAATATGCATTGATGAAATTTTCTTAGTGGGTAACAGCTAAATTTAAGAAAGACAATATTTTAATACGCATTAGACTTTCCCAAAGTCTGTTTTATGTTAAACCCGTACCACGCAGTAGTACGAATGCCTTACAGATTTAACATAAAATGGATTTTGGAAAAGTCTAAATGCGCATTCAAAGTAGCGACCGTTTTCACTCTCTTGAACCATCAAGTATTACAAAAATGAAAGATTTCAAAGAGCAAAGTGAACCATAGGCACATTGTTTCATCAATGTTGTTTTAGTTCTTCAAAGTTGAAAGGCACGAGGTTCATCTTCACCAGTCAAATTTCGCAAAATACCTTTGACTGACTAAAGCTATCAACTAGGGGCAGTCTTTATTAAGAAAATGGACCAACATTATCCAACAAGTAGGCTTTTTCAAAACAAAGAAGAGCTGTTTCATTATCCCTCTTGAAAGCTAGTTATCATAACTGAATTGAAAAAAAATGATTAACCAGAGGCATTAACCTTTTTTAATCCGTGGATTTGAAAAATACAAGAATTTGTATAAAGGTCATCCATATTGCTTTGTCTCCATGATCATAATTTAGCAAGACAGTCCAATTGATATTAAAAATTGTTCCTGCTAACCTTTTGCAGTGATTGTTAGCAACTGGCGTGGTTAACAATTCATTTCTTAATACCGTTAAAATTGGGAATTTTCAGATATGTCTATTACTAGAACGTTGTTGATGTTTAATGTGCAGAATTAGAAAAAAAACCCGTTTGAAGGATCACGAGCTTCAGTATTATGTAACTATTTTGCTAATGTTTAGGCACGGCAGGCTCTGTTTGGCTAAAAGGAACTTACCCGAATCAAGTTGGACAGCAAATAGGTGTTCCTGTTTGTGCAAGAACACCAACAGAATGTTGCAAACAAAGCTGGAATATTGTGATAAAGAAATGCCATGTTGGTGGAGAAACCTTCTTTCTGCACAGGCTTCCATCCGTTCCTCGTTGCCCCATGAGCTATTGTGCAGGTTTGCTTTTGAGTATCTTACACTTTTCATGCAGCACAAATTCGTTATTGTTTTCATAAGTTAATCCAATGCAATTTTCATGTAAGTCTAATTCAATAAAACATCTTCTATGTACTCTTGCGTAAATGGTGTCTTCGATTCCTATAGTCGATCATATTCATCTCAAATAGAAAATCGTTAGCAACAAACAATGTGAAAACGTTCCTTTAACTTGGCTTGAGATAATGGTAAGATTCCTTAAATGGTATAAGTATTTTCTTTTTAGGGACAGAGGTTCCTTGTCCACCTGGGTACAATTCTAAGACTGGATATACACCGGATTGCGTGAGTATGTGTGTTTATTATATTTGATTGAGATTCTAAATACGAAATCATCTGTCCTTGTTTTTAATGTAATAATAAAGTAAAGTCATAGGGTGAAAATTTCATGACATTTTAAAGACTCATTGCTAATAACGAGCCTTTGCGCGCGTTGCAAATTGTCCAGGCGACGAACCAAACTATGGCAGTAAACTTCTACGGGTTAACCAAAATTGATTTAAGACTGTCTGAAAATGCATTATAGGATGCTTGCGTAGCGCAATGGTTCTTTAATTCAAAATTTATTCATTGGAGAATAGTTATATTATGAAACTCTGAGAGGAAATGTTAAGGCCATACCCTTGACTTTTGCAATTCGACCTGTCATCACCAATCGACCAGTCATTGCTTTTCGATTAGCCATCGATTTTTGTTTGGTCATTGCTATACGATTTGTTTCATTTATCAGTAGACAGGTAGATTTGTTAAAGTTTTATATCCAAGTTCAGCCTCGTTTTACATCCAAGGCATAACTTTGTCTCTATAAACCGCTTTGTCTAATTAGCCGTTTCGATGGGAATTTTACCAGTAAACCATTCTTTAAATAAGTATTTACAAATAATTGATATTCAAATCTGTCAAACTTTCATGTGAAGTTTTGCCTTTAAAAAAGCAGCTGTTGTACAGAGAACTGATATAATCTATAATCTTTTTTATAGAGCTGTTTCCTCCTGTTACAAATGTACGCTTATATCATGGAATCGAGGAAAAGCGGCTCAAGTTTGTATGTGAGTTCTCAAATGACGAAGTAAATGACACGGACATATTTGAAGTGACTTGGTGGCAAGGAGCACCAGCAGTCCAAATTAACAAAGTCGATATTCTACGTGGCGCGGAAAGGAAGGCCATACTGCGAAACATGAATCGTTACCCAGAGCCGCCATTATTCTACCTCGGAACCACGGTGTGTATGCAAACCAAATGCACCGAATAAGTATTACTAGGAAAACCAAACATTGAACAAATATTTATCAGAGAAACCAAATATCATGCAAATATTTATCAGTGAAACGAAAATTATACAAATATTTATCAGACAAACCAAATACTATACAGATATTTATCAGAGAACCCAAATATTATATAAATATTTATCAGATAAACCAAATATTACCTAGGTATTTATCAGAAAAACCAAATTTTATACCAAGGTTCATCAGAGAAACCAAATATTATACAAATATTCATCAGATATACCAAATATTACATAGGTAATTATCGGATAGACCATTTTGAACATTTATTTTGGAGCATTTTTTACCTTTTGCCTTAATAATGACGTTTTGTTTGAAAGGATTGATTTATCGCGAACCGCATTCTCTGACTCTTCATTGCAGATATCTTGTAGAGTTCGGTCTTGGTTTGAGCATAAGAATAACACAAAAAGCAGATATGTTGAGAGCAACCACTTTTTTGCAGGAATAAAGGTATATGTTTACATTTTGCAACTTTTAAATGAGTCATTGAATTTTCAACCAAATATATTTGTGATAATCTTACAAAAACCTAAATACTTGTACCTTATAGCAAAATCAGGAAATTTCGTCAAGGATTAGGGCTAAAGGGAAAAAGCAAAAAGGAGGGGGCTACGGTAGAGCTTGCAAGCGTTTTAAGTCGACATTGGATTCCCTAATAATGTTGATGCATTGCGAGGTTTTTATATAAATAAGCTAAAAGCTTTATAATTAAAAGACAATTATCTTCACATGCAATTATTTCTTCCTGATTGTCACAGACACAAACACTTAACTTTTTGCCTTTAAAGTACAGTGTTACTTTCTGTGGGGATCATTTTACATTCTTCAGCAGTTAGTTAGAAAAATATTGCTAGACGTTTTTAGCCAATAAGAGTACAAGCCATCTATTGAATCAAATTATGGCTGCTCTTTGCGATTGGTTGAGTGTTGAAATTGTAAAAAAACAATCTCATGGAAAGGTGTTGACAATAAAGGGCCCCGTTAGTCACCAGTCAAGTTGTTTGGCCTTAGATAGTCAAAATTTCTTATAACTACAAAACTCCTGATATTAACTTTTCGTATACCAAAAGAAAGATACTTATAATGTTTATTGACTTTTTGCTCTTTTTCAAAAGAGCTCTTCGCTTAAACGAAATTCTTCGCCTGCTTCATTGGACTCTCTAAGTCATTCAGTATTTGCCACTCGAAACAACCTTAATTAGTCATAAGTTAAAAAAATGTTTGGTCATTAGTTTTAGGTTTTTCATATAAATCAACCATTAGTCAGTTGGCAAAACAATATGCTAGTCTGCTAGTCGAAACCACTCCTGCATTCTCTCAAAAAACATAAACGTTGACACTTTGATCGTTTGCTCGAACGCCAGCTTGTTAAAACTGCACTATTCATGAAAAAAGTTTAAATAATCAAAAACCATTGAAAGGTTTGTTTTAAACTTTTTTTCACTTAAAAAATTTTCATTTGTTGGCCGCTAATTTTGCCCTCGTGATTACTTGTCGGCGTGTTCACATTCATCGTCCGTGCAAGCGAACTTAAAGTTTAAGATCGTAACTAATGTAGCCAACATGCAGCTTCAAAAAGCAAATTTAAAATGAATACTTTTAATGAAAGATGAACCACAGTTCATATTTGTCACTTTCTTGAGAGAACACATTTGTTTGTACTAGGACTCGTGCATGATTATTTCTTGTACCTTAATCAACGTTGAAAATATTCAGGTTTATCCAGAGCAACTGAAATTTCGACTGTCAGAAGCAGGATCACCCCTAAAGTTAATGGTAAAGAGCACAGTTCCGATTATCTGCGAAAAATTTCACGGCTGTTTCGTACTGGTCGAAATAGGACAGACTGGTTCAGACTCTTTGGTAGACGTGTGCTCTTTGAAGTTTGATCCAGGCAAGGCAAACCAAACGAAAGAAATACAAGTTGTTGCATTGAGAGACTTTGTTAACGATGGTGACCATACAATGTATGTGAAATTTCATATTTTTGACCACATTGATCCTGTCGACTGGAACCTTCACAAAAGAATTCCAGATATCCAGGTATTTTGATGTATATAGTGTTAAAGCTGTTTTGCTTTGGTAATTTGAAAAGTTTAACAAATCGGTGCTTTTGTAGAAATATCAACCATGTTTAATGAAGAAAAAATTTAAAAAATAACATTGCCCTCATTTATGGTTTAAAAAAATATGAATCATAAAATTTTACTACAGGATATAATGTATATTATTTTTAATCAACAAAGAGCAAGGTTACCCTAATAGTTACTTTTGCTAACTGTAACACTTTTTATCTATTATAACGCATGTAGAAAGAATTGAATTTTAATTAAGAAGCACTGGAACGTTCAACTGAAAGTAAATTATGTTTAAAATTGTTTTTCAAAATATTTACTTCTAGCTCACAAAAACGAAGCAGTATTATCTTTTCAGTAATCACATTAGCCCTTGTAAGATAACATTTTGAAATACGACAATGTATGACTTTTGCAATAGCGCTGTCACGGGAGGGAGTGGAGGTGACAAAACCAACCAGATCTCGTCAGGATTAGCTTTTCATCTTCTCTAATTTTGCCAAGAAAATATTTAGGAAGTGGCGATATTATTGGCATCGTATTTTTTGTGATGAAATTTCATGACTTTAAAACTGCCTTTATTAAGATTATGTAAATAGTTAGCTTTGGGCGCTTTTTTCGAAAAATCAGCGTTCTTTATTGTTAAAAGGACGCGTTCTTTCGTTAATAAAGAACATGGCCTAAAATGTTTGTTTGTATCTCTTCCCTCCACAAGAATCTAGTGAATGACAATGCCCCTGTGCTCTTCTAATGTTGAAAATTCAGGTATCGCCAGAAAGTCGCCTAAGATTGACACTATTTTGGTCTTATTTTCTGGTTTTAATTTCATTTTCTGCAGATTATGTCGGTAGACGTCGGTACAGAACGATGTACAACTACTGGAGATCCACACCTCACCACATTTGACAAATTGTACGTTATTCACGTCTTTAATTTTAAGAGCATTATTAAGGTGCTAGTAAGAGAGCAAATTTACATCTGGATATAAAATCGTCAAGGACAGACAATAGTATTGTTTGTATAATCTAGATAGCATACTTTTACTGTAGATAGCAAATTTAATACAGAAACACTTTCATCTTCAATTGCTGATTGTGTTTTCAACAAGTTTTTTATTAAAATTATTTCTTCATATTTCAGTTATTATCATCATTATCAAGTTGGAGACTATGTTCTTGTCAATAGCACATGTAGAAAGTTTGAGGTACTTTCTGATTATTACTTTAACTTTTAGCAGTATTACAAATACATTGGTACTGTCTCTTCCATCAACTTCAAAGATTTATTAAAATTTCATGTTGATGGTCAAACATGAACCAGTAAAAGAACTCCAGCACAACTATCAATTTTATCTATGTCTTCACCTTGTATGCTTTTTCGTCCATCTCAACCCAGTGTAAATCCACTTTTTTAAGAAATGCCATTTTTAAGAAACTTATCAAAGGATAGAAAACAAGCAGACATGTTTGATCTACATCTTAAACAGCAGAATTATTCATGTTGTATTATTCGTTAGGTGCATGTTCGAACATGGAAGTGCGCCAGCGTGTCATGCAATTGCGGTGTTGCGGCAAGAGAGGGAGATGACGTAATCGTTGTGGATATGTGTCGTGATAAGATTCCAAGAGCCAGGTTTGCTAGCACAGTTGAGCCACATCCAGATACGAAACTACAAAGAAATCGCAATGGAAAAAGTTTTGAGGTGCAAATATATTCAACTTAGAATAAAATAACACCTTATACAGAAGCAAATTATGCAGAAGCTTGATTTTGACAGCATATGTACGATATCATAACAAAATTATAGCAATTTTTATTTCAAGAAGTTAGCTAGAAAAACATTTTTGGCTGTCATTTCAGTGGGAAAGTAAATGATAGATCTATCTTTGTCTGCAAGATTAAAACAGCTTTGAAAGTCTGTTGCCTTCAGGGCAACGTTGACAATTTAAAAATGAAAACTGAAAAAAATTGAAAAATGTGTTTCACAGATTGAAATTGTAGAGGGTTGTAAATTATTATCCAACAAAGTGATGGATTTAGACAGTTGCTGATTATAGTGGATGACCTGCGTTAAATCTGGAGATATCTGAGCGTTTCCCGCGGTGACGAAAAAAGATTTGATCATTATCTAATAAAAATGCGTTATTATGAGTTTACGCAAGTTCCTCTTTGATCAATTATCATTGTAGATATGTTTAAAGTTAGCCTTTTAGCTCAGGTCATCCACTTTTAACAAACATATTCTCAGACACTATCTGACAAAACATTTTATGCATACACAGAAATCTAAAACCTTTCTTTATCGTTCCAGTTACATGACAAACATCATTTAATGACGTAAAATGCAATAATTTGTATGAAATTCTGGTGAAAAGTCCAAATTAACAATCAATTTTTTATCTTATACTCAAACATGACCGTAAGGTAATTATCTATATGTGACATCTACAGATTTCCTTCCCATCTGGAGCATTTATTCGTGTTGATATGCACCGTTGGATCGGCAATCTTTGGTATGCGAACATTCAAGTGCAAGTTGTAAGTGATGACTTTAAATGTACACAAGGTCTGTGCGGTACATTCGATCGTAATAAAGATAATGAATTGACTGCCAGCGATGGACAAGTGGTTTCTGGAAGACATGGCTCTATTGCACCTACGCAGTTCACAGAAAGTTGGAAGTACGATATCATCTGCATGTTTTTCTCATTTTCTGACCACTTGAAAAGGCATTACCGAAAGGCATCTCTTTCGATAAAGCTTTTTATGTAAATAAAGTGTTTGTATGAAGTTTTGCGTTTAAATTAAAGTTTTCAGCAAACATTGTTTTATAAATTTTTTCATAATTGCTCCGTCTTTCTGGAGGCTGAAAAGGATATTTTATACGAAATAAAATAATTTCTCTAAGAATTTGTCTCTCTTCGGAGCTTCATTTGAATGGTTGCCATATGTTAACACCTTTTCTTAGTAACTTTAGCAGGTTTTGTTTAAATCTCCAGGCTTTTCTATAACAATATAACAAAGCTTTTTGTCGTGGAACTCATAATTGAAAGTACCTTCTTTTGCCCAAAAACCTGAAAATCAAAAATTTCCAGCAATATTGATTTACTTTTTACGACCATAGCTCGCGACAACAATATTTTTTTAAAGTCTTTTTCAATTCGAATAACTGATCATCTTTTTATCTGAGAATCCCAACTGGAGAGAGTCTGTTTTACTACCGTGGTGGACCACGAAAATGCCATGGAAAGCGCGTCAAGCATTACTGCAGCTGCCAAGAAGACTGCTGTGGCAAAAGAAAAGTGAATTGTGATTTCACTAATTTTCAAAAAAGGCCAAAATACAAAAAGGGAAAGCAGTTCTGGAAAGACCTCAATTTTCCTGGAGGGAGACACTGCGGAAGAAGGAAGAGGAGATCAACAGCCGATGCGATTATTCTTCCTGACGATGAAGAAAGTCTTTGGGACTATGTGTATGCACCGGAGCCCCTTAAGGCTGTTGTATCAAACTGGCCAACTCCACTTGGGAAAACATTAGCACAGACAAGAGCTTACTGTGACCAACAACTTAGAAATTCGGAAATTGCCAAGATTTGCAGCAAGCTACTCGATGTATTTGATGTCACTGATTTTGTTACAGAATGTATTTCTGACGTTCAGGTTCGTGATTGGAACAAATATCTTAAAGCTATGATGAATGTAGCCGGTTACACCAAGGTTTATTATAGAAGTCATTCACTCGAAGCCGTTCTTAAGAACAATAGGAATTGCGTCTTACCATAGTGTGATAGCATGCTTTTTTAGACATAGTTGAACCGCGATGCCCTTGAAAATATAAGTTTAATATTTTTCTATCCTTAGATAAGTGACAACTTTACATTTGTCTATTCTGCCTTGGAGAAAATGAAGAATTTTTGCGAAGAAATATCTTTGAAAGACTTGACTATTTGGAAGAAAGATCCGTCAAAAAATGGCACTCTAGAGCCACCCACTGTGATAGAAAATGTACTGTGCCCGAATCAATGCAGCGGCAATGGCATATGTGTCAATGCCACTTGTAAATGCAACAATGGTTTTGTCACTGCAGACTGTTCCATAAGAAGAGGCGAGGAACCTGTTGTCCTTACGAACTGGCCTCAGCGTTTAGACGGATTGTGTGACATGCGGAAAAGAGATTGCACCTCCACCCGAGTGTCTGGATACAACTTCATAGATTCGGAGGGTCTCAAATGTAGAATACACCATGCAGAGGTAAACACAAAATCAGAGAATTGAATAAAAATCGGCAAATCTTTATAAAATATGCATGCGATGTTAAAATTCGGCAGCCATTACTAGAGCTTTTGCTGGTGTCTCATTTTGTCTTTTTGAAAATACAGTATATTTTGCCTTTCAGAGGAAGCTAACATTTTGATTTTCAAACTGAAATCCCATCCGCTTTGTCATTTTTTTGACTAAAAGTTTGGTCAAAAGGAATAAACCACAGAGATACTAATGACAGAAAATGCCTGCACGGAAAGTTTTTTCGATGCTATAAAGCGTTTTTCTCCAAAGGTGTTTGACATCGAGGGTTTCAGAGATATAACAAGCCCTACTGAAACATTTTAAATACTTTTCAATCGTTTCTGAAAAGGTAATAAACAGGGCGTTTTGATATATTAGAAACATACCACTTGAAAGTTCTTATGATACTGATAAAAGTCTTTGTGTATGGTGAAAAAAAATTGCTTGTAGCTCTAAAAGGTTATTGATAATGTCATCATCATCATTAGCCTGTCACACCACTGCTGGCGGATGGCCTCCACATCTTTCTCCACTCATCACGGTTTTGGGCACTCTGGGTCCACGTGCTGCCTGCCTTCTGCTCGATCTCATCTCTCCATCTTCTCTTTGGTCTTCCCTTTTCTCTCTTCCTGTACCACGGAGTCCATTCTGTCGTTTTCTTAGCCCATTCGTGGTTCTTCATTCGTGCTACATGTCCTGCCCACTTGCCTTTGGCTTCAATCACTTTCTCGATGACATCCTTCAACCCTGTTCTTGATCTTAAGTCTTCGTTCCTGATCTTATCTCTCCTTGTAACACCCAGCATTGATCGTTTCATGCTCCTCTGGGTGACTGCCAGTTTCTGTCTTTGGCAGTTGGTAAGTGACCATGTCTCAGCTCCATACGTCATTGATGGCAGTATGACAGTGTTCATGATCTTCCTTTTGAGACACATGGGCATTCTTTGATCTCTCAGAAACGTGCTGTACTGTCCGAATCTCTTCCAAGCAGATGTTACTCTCTCGTCTATTTCTTTCGCCATCTCATTTCCTGGTGTTAGCAGTCTTCCCAAGTACTTGTCATCATCCACCTCCTCCAGTTGTTCTCCATCCACAATTATTTTTTTTCTTCTCCTTTTCCTTGCTATTTCATTGCACATGATTTTGGTTTTCTTTCTGTTCATTTTCATGCCATCTTTTCTCCTTTCCTTGTTCAGCTCGTTGAGCAGCTTGCTGAGATCCTCTTCGTTTTCTGCAAATAAAATGATATCATCTGCAAATCTCAGGTTGTTCATTTTCTCTCCGTTGATGTTAATTCCCTCTTCAACTTCCATTCTCCTGAATATTTCTTCCAACGCTGCTGTGAACATCACTGGTGACAAGGTGTCTCCTTGCCGCACTCCCTTCATGATCTTTATCTTTCGGCTAAGTGATTCGTTCCGAACCTGAGCAGTGCCTCCATCATATGTCTCTTTCAGGATGTTGATGTACTTCTCCTCTACGCTGTGCTGTTTTAGCGCTTCAAAACAGCCTTGTGCAGTACAGAATCAAAGGCTTTTTCGTAGTCTACAAACGCCATATGAATGGATATCTTATACTTCTTGGTTTTCTCGAGTATTTGCACGACTGACTGCAGATGATCGATGGTTGAATGACCTCTTTTGTAGGCAGTTTGTTCTGGCGGCTGGTGGTCACTCAGATTGTTATCCAACCTTTTCTTCAAGATCTTCATGAAGAGTTTGTAGACTTGGGAGAGTAAACTGATTGGTCTATAATTAGCAAGGTCTTTCTTGTCTCCCTTCTAAAATATGAGTGTTATAATGGCATTTTTCCACTCGTTGGGTATCTTTTCTTCAGTCATCACTCTATTGAAGAGTGTTCTCAGCTTTGATCTCACAACTTCACCTCCGGCTTTGAGCATTTCAATCACAATCTGACCTTCTCCCGGTGCTTTGTTATTCTTCATACCTTTTATGGCATGCTCGATTTCACTATCAAGGATTGGTGGTACATTATCTGCTTCTTCTTTTCTGTGTTCTGGGCTACATCTTTGTAAAGCGTTTCATAGAATTCTGCGCACCTCTCAAGAATTCTCTCTCTGTTGGTGATGGCGGTTCCATCTTGCTCTATTAATGCTGGTATAAGAACCTTGCAGCCTTCTTTTTCTTTTGCTCTTTTCAATCCTTTCCCACTCTCAATTGCCTCCTTCACTTGCATCGTGTTGTGCTCTCTAAGATCTTCTCTCAATCTCTTCCTGATGGTTTGACATAATTTGTTGTACTCTCTTCTCTCTCGGTCATTCAGATCTTTCTTTGCCATTGCTCTCCTTTCTTTTAGCAGTTCTTTAGTTTCCTGCTTGAGCTTCTCCTCTCGCCGTCTTTCCTCTTTTCCTGCTGTTTCCATAGCACATTCCTTAATGGTCTTTGTGATGTTGAGTGCCATTTCCTCCGCACTGTCCTCTTCTTGCAAGGCTTCAAAGCGATTTTGCAACTTCAGTTGAAATTCATTCTCTCTTTGTTTCAGGGCGTTGATGTTTACTTTCACTCCTTTTGGTCTCATCATTTTCATTCTTTCCAGTCTTGTATTCATTTTGATCTTACTTCTGACCATTCTGTGATCACTAACGATGTTTACCCTTTTTATGACATTGACATTCTGGATCATGTTTTTATTTACCAAAATATAATCGTTCTCGTTCCTGGTTTCGCCATTTGGACTTATCCAGGTCCATTTTCTGATCTTCCTCTTCCTGTAGAAGGTATTTCCGATCTTCAAACCTTTTGATTTTGCAAATTGCATCAGTCTGGTTCCCCTCTCGTTCCTTTCTCCAAGACCAAACTTTCCAACTGTCGCCCCGTCGCTTTGATGATGTTGTCCAACCTTTGCATTAAAGTCATCCATTACGATCTTGTATTGACTTTTATTCTTCTCCAATGATTTTCCAATCTCCTCATATAGCTCCTCAACTTCTTCATCATTGTGACTCGATGTTGGCGCATACACTTGTATTACTTGTAGTTGGTATTTGCTGTCCACTTTCAGTGTAAGCGACGTCACTCTGCTGCTCTCTCCTTCGTACTCTATAACTCGGTCCTCGATGTTCTTGTTGACCAGAAAGCCAACTCCTCCAACAGAAAGCCAAGAAAGCCGACATGCCCACTTTGCAACTGTTTCAGTTGCTCTCCTTTCTTTCGTGTTTCTGACAGTCCAATGATGTCCCACTTGTAACCTATCAGCTCTTGCTCTAGCTCCTTCTCTTTCTTTGGATCTTTCAATGTTCTCACGTTGTAGGTGCAAATATTTAATTGTACTTTCGAAACCCGGGGATTCTTAGCACCCTCTGCCTTTCGGCTGCCGGGGACTGAGGGCCGTTGTGTGTTGGGTGTATTCATGTTGTGGGTGTGAACCATGACTCACCACGATGGTTCAGTGCGGATTGGTGAGTTGCCTGCACCCTAGATTTCTCAGGGGTGTAGGACTATGAGGCAGGTAGTACGAGGTTACATATTACTTATAGCAGACTTAGAGCCTGACCTGACTTGAAGATGTACTTAACTCAAAATGAAGTTAATCTATATATAGTCCTAGTTTTTAAATGCTTTTGAAAATATTGTAATCTTGTAATTTTGTTTCAGCCAAAAGACGGAGGCTACGTCAAATTAGATAAAACAGACGTAAACCAAGCCTTTCTATTAAGTTTTGGTGAGATTATGTGTGAGTTGGACAAGCTGCCAACAAATGTCGAAAGGTATGGGACGGGCGAAAAAGGCATTCCTGTTGCAGCCATGTACATCACTGTCGCCAATGACGCAAAAAATTACAGCAAAGGCCAGTCATTACATGCAATCTATGATTCAAAATGCATGAATTGTAGCTTGAATGAAACGTGCTACAAAAGAGTAAGAGTCTTTGATTATGATTTGTCAAAGACATGTATTTATTGTTTTCAGGTTTTGAGTTCTGCTTCAGATTTTTTTCCATGTATAAAGTTTATTGTTGGGCTCAACTGTCCCTTTTTTTAAATTACTTCAAATATGTTTGATGTATTGTTGAAGTTATGAAGAAATAAAAGTGTAAACTTTTAAGAAAGAATTTTCAGGCAAAAGCAGCCAGAATTGTTGCCTCTTATCAACTGAAAAATGGAACTTGAATTAACTTATAAGACAGATCTGATAACCTGCACTCCAAAGAAAACGAGATGGAACCCGGTGAATATTGATATCAGGTCGTTCCATATTCACCATTCTGATGAAGCCTGTTCTGATGTTGATAGACAATTTTGTGAATTGAAAGGAAAGGTAAAGAAAAGCTACCACTATTATACGACATGTGTATAAAGTATTAAACCAAAGGCAATCTTAGATCTCTTTCTTTACAGGCAATTCAAATGGTTAGTCAAGTAGCCATGGTCAAAATATATATGAAGTTTATTTAGCAATTTTCAATTATTTTCGAGTTATGGGAAAAGTATCAGCCTTTATACCTTTTTATGTATTATTGCTAGCCTAATGTTGATACAAATAAATTAATCTAGTATTAAGTCTGCATACAGCTAATTGAGTGTACTTATTTCTAATTTCTGCAAAAGTCGTACTTCTATTGAAACTTGAATATAAAACTAGCCAAATGTTTGTGAGCTTGAAAACACAAAATTTATAGAATCAATGTTTTAATTGACAGGAAAGTACGTGTCTGATTAACGGATTCTGTTTCAACAAAGAAGAGGCTAACCCCTTGGACTACTGTGCCTTGTGTGACCCACTTGAAAATGAGTATCAGTTTTCTACACGAAAAGGTGAGCTTCGTGTTTTTTAATGTTTCCTCTTATTGTGAAAATGTGACAAATTTTTCATATATCTTCGAGCAATTTTTTTTGTTCTGAAAAGCTTCTTAAGCATCATATGTCAAGTACCTTTATCTCCGATTCCAATTCCAAAATTTGTACTACTAAAGGAGTCTTAAAACGTAACAAATTGTTTCAGAATTAAGACTTCAGTTCACTTTGCCATATAAGCTGGCAGAACTGGCTGATGTAACAAAAAACATATTCGACTCAACTAAAATTGTATTAATAAAAGACCACAAAGAAGAATATCGATTTTCTAAGAAAATGTTTTTATATATCATCATGATTCTTCTACATATACAACTGAAAAGTTTTATAAAAATTATCGTTTTTCACTTAGCTATTCTGAAGCACTAGTAAAGGGGTAGTCAAAAAAACACTTAAGCAAAACGTTGTTATTTTTCCCTTTCATTTAGCACATTCTGCTCCAGTTATTGTTACTGAGACAAGGTCGAGGAGAGCAGTCGTAGGACAGGAATTCAGTTTGCAAATGGAGGCGTACGATCCCTACAATCAGACAATTACGTTTAAACTTAAAGAAGACTACAAAGATGTCAGTATAACATATGATGGATTACTCAAATGGAAACCAAAACATTCTGGAATTGGCAGTTTCACTGTTGTAGCAGTAGGCAGGTGCGGTAATGAGGCGAGCCTCAAGCTGTTGATAAATGCAACGCTGTGTACTTGTAATGAACAGGCAGTATGTATATTGATGCAAAATGGTACGGACGATAGAGTTATTTGCAAATGCATTGATGGATGCACAGGCCCATTGTGAGTAGGAAAATATCTTGCTTCTTTTTTTAAATATCATGATATGCAAAATATTATTAAAAGGTTTAATTTCATTTGAAAAACGAAAAGAATATTTCTGGTTTAAATTTGCATCAACATCCCAAATTTTATCTTTCAAAATTTTTTAGTATGTATCTTTCAAAAGTATGTTTCAATTCATAGTTAAAGAACAAAAAATAGTAATCTATAGTTTTCCCGTACATCTTCTCCCGTTTGTATTGTCATTTACTTTTTTGGATCTTTTTTTAGCAAAGACTTCAAGAGGAATTTTTTTAACCTTTGATTCTTGTCTTTTAACGAATGAAATCTTCTATTCCTTGCAGAATTTTTGATGAAAGTATCTATGACCCTGATTTTTTTTTCTTAAGCATATCCTTTATCTCTAACTTGTGTTAGACATACCACTTTCTGCAGCAGATTACTGACACCTTTTATGCTTGAATGAAAAATTTGAATTATTCTTTGACAAAACATTTTGTTATTTGAGTTTGGAAATGTAAAAACTGGTAGGAATATTGTTTAGGAATATAGACAGGAATATAGATTACTAATTCTCACTGGATACATGGACCTTTTCGCTGTGAACTAGGCTATTTATTTGTCCTCTTGAACAGTTACCTTCTTTGATTTAATATGTTGTTATTATTTTAAATATATGCCTATTTTAAATATTCTTCTGTGTGGCAAGGGGCGACGCAATGGATGTGTCTTTTCTGTGCGCACGGGCTAGATTTTATATAAGTCAACATTTCCTTTTTTGTTCAAATTTACTGCCTGTCTACGTTGAGATGACGTTCAGAAATAAAAATTTAACTTTCAAAATTTTTCAGGTGCTCTGAGCCTCTACCTGGCAAAGAATGCAGCAGTGGTGAGTAGATAGTTGTAAATCACACAAGTATGCAGCTAAACATAACAGATAACTCTAGTTGTTTTTGTCTTTTCTTTTCTGCTTCCATTAGGTTGCAGTGTGTTTAGCTGTATGCCTTATCATCTAATTGGATTTTATCTTTTTAGCCAAAAAGCCTAGAAAACTTGCTGCAGACGAATCAAATACAGCCATAATCGTCATTCCAGCAACAATTGCTGCTGTTCTCCTTCTAGCAATAGTTCTTTTTGTCTATTACTTTCGGAAGAGACAGCAAAACCGTAAACAAGAAGAAGAAGATTGTGGTAACAATGTTGCATATAGCAAGAAGAATGGAATCGCAAAGGTTTTTGAAAATGACATATATGCAAGCACAGCCACGCTGACTTGAAACAAATCATCAACTAAAAATGCTCTCAAAAAGAATACTACATGAATCTTTTATTGATTATTATCATTTATGAAGAAACAGATGTTCCTGCCATTCAGCCTGTGACATTTTACGTACAGTAAGACCAAGCTAAAGCTAAACCATGCTGGGCATGTTTATTTCACTTTTCATAGATATGAGCTTACGTTCAGATATTTTAAAAATTCAGAGTGAATGACAAAATCTTGCAATATTGAATATATATATAATAAGCATCAAAATTTTCAGGAATAGAAATCTTTGCCATTTCCAGGGATCAAATAAGCTTTTCAAAATAAATGGTTACGACTATAAATGGTCAGCATTTTTTCGGTTCGCTTTGCGCTGAAAAATTGTCGCGCGTAAATCAGGCTTTACAGATACTTTTGATCGTCATTAGCCTCAGTTATATTTATGCTCTCTCAAAATTGTGAAATTTGCGGTATAGAAATTCTTCTGCTAAATTTTGAAAGAAATCATAAAGATTATGTATTATTCAATTTTTACTATGAAAAATGACAATGCGCATACAAAAGTAAAATTTCTGAATTGATCATACGAGCAAACGAGCCAAAATCAAATATAATTTGAAAGTTGCTGAAAAAAAGCTTCTTAGAAATCTGGCTACAGCACCACGATTTTTGCACAAATTTCTTTTCAGTTCTTCATAAAAAGACATTGTAATTCTTGTCACGGAAAAGTAGAAGACATTCTACAAATTCATTGTAATTTCCATGTTAGTATGCTAACATATAAAAATGTTTGTATATTTGACAAGAGTTAGTATTCCAATATTTTCGTCTTCCCTTTTCTTTCTTCTCTCTTCGTGTTTGGTTTTGGATTCAGTATCTGACATCCCCTAGTTTAAATGGTTAATATCGGTCTTTCAAAAAGCGTTCTGAAAAATTATGCTTCCCTTGAAAAGGTTTTCTGTATAACGACTCTGAAAATTGTCGGAATAATCAACTGAGTTATATAGTTGAATGCTATAAAATAACGTTTTTACGGCTTTAAAGGTGATTTTTAGATCGTGATTTGAAAATGTAACATGAAAACACAAAAATTTTGAAAATCAGTAAAACCTCAGGGAACTGACTTTTGCTGCAAGGCTATTGTTGGTTTAAACTGGTTCCTAATTCTTAGAGCCAAGTTCAGTGGTATTATGCTAAAAGAATTATTTTGCTGCATTTGAGGACGACAGAGTCAAAATTCAAAGCAACAAACATGAAATACTTAGAATAATAGGAATTATTGTTACTTAAAGGGGAAACTCCAGTACTGGTGTGGCCATGTGTCAGTAGATTGGCTATACACAAATACTGAAGATTACTACAATTCTCTTTAAAGTAATGCTGTCAAAATTTGATAATGCTCACAAAAAGATTTTTATGTATTAGCCTATGTATTAAGTTGTAATTAAGGAAAGCTAAAGCTGTTTGAAATTTGATTGTCAGTTGGTTGTGATTGATTCTGATGTAACAGCTGGATCAATATATCTCATAATTCGACAGAGTTAGATACAAGCAAAAAACTTCGAGTTATGAATAATCTTTGAAGACGACCTTTGCTTGCAATGCTGGAACAGATCAATTAAGCAAAGCAACAGTCCGGTAGATTCATAGTTTATCACAAAATATCAGTTAACTTAGCCCAAGCAAATTATCTAGCACCCAAATAATCACAAATTGAAGTTTAGAGCAAAATAGTTTTGTTAACATGGTTTTGTTGAGTTGCCGTTGCAAAGATGGGAAATCATTTTTTTGATTCGGATTGGTTAAACTCCATTCCTTGCAAATTATTGATTATATTTACATTTAAAACAGATTGCTGTATTTTTCGAAATGGACACCCTTCTTGAGTAAACACCTTTCTTAAATAGGCACCCCCTAAAAGCGCCAAAGTTCGAAAATAGAGACCCCCTTTTGATCTTCGTATTTTGGAGTATTAAGCATTTTTCTGCGAAAACGGCTGACACGACCATGGTGATTAGATTTTCTCCCTTAAAAGTATGAAACTTCATTACAATTTCTTTTTTTCCGGCTTCTTTGCCCCGCATAGTCAACAAAAAACTTTGAATTATTTCAGTAAAAGAAACCCTTTTCTTGTATTCAAATACCTTTACAGTATTTTCCATGCGTCGGTACACCTCTTTTTTGGCTACCAGCTCTTTGTGAAAATATTGTTGTTTAATTTTTAAGTTCACTTTTGGAAGTTTGGAAACAACAGCCCCCCTTGAATATCCTCCCCACTCGATTAGGCGCCCCAATAGAATATAATTTATGACACCCCTGGACATTTAATTGAGGAAATGCGGTGTTTTGTTATCCAAAAGTTCTCGGGAAAGTAGACAAATGGTACTTCTCTGTTACGAGTATTTTCTGGAATAGATTAAACTCAAAGCACGATTCTTCGAGACAAAAAATTATCCTGTGGTGAAGTGAACATTGAATCTATCCTTATCTTATATGGTAGATCTCGAGAAGACGAAAACAACGAAGATATCAACACACAAAAGAACCTTTTTTGCTAGACCCACGATTCACAACTATTGAATACCCATTTAAAGGCCGGTAAAACAACGGAAATTTCCACTGAAAATGCTCTTGAAAAATACCCAGCGTCTAATATCCAGTTCTTCAGCTAGCAACGAAAGAATCAATATTAACCTTCAATTCAACGAAGAACAGGAAAAGGCAATACACCAGAAATGATAAGTCTTCTGAAAATATTAGTTTTAGTACTGACGAATCAAAAGCGATGGCAGAAGGCACAAATGCGGTGATTGTGATGAGCCTAGCAGTCCCAACCACCCTCTGTTAATAGACATTGTTCTACAGGGCAAAATTTCACACTGTACCAGGGGCGGACTGGCTCTAAATTTAGGGCCCGGGCCAAGTCGTCGACAAAGGGCCCCGGAAATCAATAATAAGTTTACGGGTATCCCCAAAAATATTTGTTGCATCACTTTTTTATATTGGCTTAAAACGTTAATGGAATATTGCTATTAATTCTATATAGTAACCACCAGGGATGTGGGCGTAGGTGTAAAAGATTTACAAGGAGGATCTACAATCCTTAGTCCAGGTCAGCATCATTTTCACTGAAAATTTAATTCTGACGTAGGAGAAGAGATGAGAGAAAATCATGACATTGCGGGAGAAAAATTATTGTCTTTTAGCTGAAGGACTTTTAAAGGGGGGTCTCAGTGATAAAAAATGGCGAATTGTATTTAGAGGGGTAACCTTTTACGATCACTGAGGCTCTGGTACCCAGGGTAGAACTTGATAAAATATCTAAGTTATTCAAAAAATCTCGATATATAATTTTCCAATCAAAACATAATAGGGGTTGATTTTTTCCAATCATTGGTTGAGCAGCCAGGTTAATTTATTGTTTGCGCAGCAACCAAGGTGGAATTATGCCCAAACTTTTCCCAACAATTACACCAAAATTTGGTTTAAATACCGATGTTTTATACCAATGCATAGTGTTAGTGCGAATAGCCCTTGGTCGTTGTAGTTTAAGCTATTTTTATCTAGCCTCGTTTTTTACATTGCATTGTTTTCTTTACGCCTCTTAGTATACGTTTCATTAGCCCATATTTGGTATTTCCGTTTTTGCGTGTTCTTGCTTTTCCTCGTTTACTTCCGGTAGCTATAAAGGATTTGCACCCCACGTTTTGGGTGGTTATTCACTCGCCTTGCATTGCGCTGTGTTGGGGGCAGTTTTTCTATCGTTTACATGCAATTTTTGGCCTGGTAGTTTCTACATGCTGTGTTTGGCCGTCGTGTAAAATTTTTATGGCTACGAGGACTAATAGATTGTAAGTTGTATGTATTATTATGTAGTTATCTTTCACTTTATTTATAAGTAGCTCATACTTAACATTTTGTAGTCTAGTTGGGTTTCTACGTAGTTCTATCTTCTGCTAACATTAATTGACCTTTTATAATTATTCATTTTCATTATATTGTAATATTAAGCTTCTTGTCGTATTCTCAACTTATAATCTTCATGTATGTTAATTGCTAACATTTTTCTTTAGCGAACCACGTTTAACACATCACCTCAGAACCTGTGTTGTTTCTTGCTGTGTTATCTGCTGGGGATTTAGGTGTGGTGCGTTCGATATACCAAAGTAGTCAGAATTACAAATTGTGGACTACATTAGTTCAAATCTAGTTCATTTGGAAATTTCATGCTGTGATGAATGAACAGACGTTTAGAGAAGAGAAGAAGAGTATTGACGAGGCGTTGATTTCTGGTGTAGATGTAAGAAGTGAGAACCCCAATATAGATGATGGTGGCGTTGTTTCAAAGGAACTAATGAGGCTGAAGCAGGTCAGAGCCAATGCAAAGCGTGAACTGACGAAGGCAATTAACCGTGTTTCTGATTCCCTGACTGTTGGCGAAGAAACTGGACAGATGCAGGTGATTGAAAGAAGACTGGACGAAGCGTTCCATAACTTCAAAGAAGCATGGATGAAACACAAAAATTTACTTGATGATGATGATGACCTTGAAGAGTCGACAGCATATTTTCATGAAGCAAAGACGAAGTACCTGTGTTCAAAGGACAGGGTAGCTCTCTGGTTAGAATCAAGGAAGAAGCAACTGCTTGAAAGGGTAAAACCTCCTGATATCGAGCCAAAAGAATCCATAAGCCAATCTAAATCTTATTTTTCTCGCCATAGCTCTTCTTCTTCACGTCGGAGCAAGGCCGTAATTGCTGAGAAGCAGTTTAATAATGCAACAAAGATGGCCTCATTGCGTGCAGAAGCGTCGATGCTAGAGCAACATCAGAGAATCGCAAATGAAGAGTTGAGAATCAATCAACTGAAAGAAAAGTTGGCTTTAGAGACCCAGTTAGCAAAACTGGCAGCAGAAGAGCGTGTGTGCGTTGAATTCAAGACTTTGTCAGGAAGCTGTTGTGAAGAAGAATTTGGCGAAACTCAAGATGGCCTCATGCGCGATCCAATAGGAGCTTCATTGAACATGAAACAGACGAAAGAATTAGCGTTGAAGACCTCTACTGCCCTAATATTCTCAGATCCCTGCCGGCAGAAAGCAAGCATTTCACCTCCAGAACAGTTAAACATCAAGCCTTCCCTCAATGGTATTGCCACAAAAGAAATTTCAGAAAACCATGCTACCTTTAGTGGATTTGAATCCCGTACTCCTCTTTGTTGGGCGGGCTATGGTGATACAATGAAAGAATCACCTGACGAACACAACGTTTCTCAGCAGTTGATTGACATCCAAGATCCCGTGGAAAACGCTGTGACAATGGAATATGCCCCTCCGAGGAGGTCAGACAATACCTATATGACGAGAAATCCATTGATGGGGTATTTTGCAACCCCGCAACAGGCATTTGATATAAACGCTCCTACATGGCAACCCTCTGGAAACCCTGTTTTTAAGGAAAGTGATGCACTGGAGGTCAAAAATCAGAGACAACAAAAGGAAGTTGCAAAGGTCCATTCGAAAAATGGTAGCCTATCTGGAACTGATGAAGGAATAAATTATTTGGAGGCAATGAAGGCCCTAGCAACTGCTGCATTGCTACCAAGGGCAGAGCTGATGCACTTTGACGGTAACCCCTTGAATTATTTTTTTGTTTATGACTTCTTTTGAAAACAACGTTGAAAAAAGTACTCAAGATTTCAGCAAGAGATTACAACTCCTGATACAGTTCTGCACTGGAAAGGCAAAGAAGGCAATTCAGAGCTGCGTTCTTCTGCACCCTCATGAAGGGTATTTTCAGGCGAAGAAAATTCTTTCAGAACGATTTGGTGATGCATACAAGGTTTCAAGAACATGGCTGACTAAAGTCATGGATGGTGCACAAATCAGGCCTGGTGATGGTGAAGCATTGCAGGATCTTGCTGACGACTTAGAAAGTTGTGAAATTACACTTCAAGCGGCAGGACGACTTAATCAGCTGAACAACGAAGACAGTTTGCTTAAAATTTTGAAGCGATGCCCGGTGTATGTAAGATCTCGTTGGCAGTCACGTGTTCAAGAGTTAAGAGCACAAGGAATGGACCCGAGTGTCAAAGACATCAGGAAGCTCATCAGATTGGCAGCAAGTAAAAAATGTGATCCAGTCTATGGCAATTTGATGGATGGGGAAAATAAAGAATTAAGAGATAGAAAAAGAGCAAACAACCGAACAGGAGCAATGAAGACCAATTTCAGCATACAAACAGGTGCAGCAAAGGGAAACAGTGATGGCTTAAATGTTACTTTTGTGACAGAAACCATAGACTGGAGTCATGTGACGCTTTCAAGTTGGAAGATGGTGAGAAACAATTTAAATTTATTAGACAAAGGAAACTTTGCGACAATTGTTTATCTAGCTTTCATTTTTCTGCTGGTTGCAAAAGACGAAAGGGATGCACAGTGCTGAATTGTGACATCAAACGGAAACATCTTGCTTCGATACATAATGAAGTTAAAAAATTTGAGATAAGTCGATGCAGTGCACAAGCTATCTCAGATCAACATGGGGAATCAAAAAGGCAAAATCAATTCAGTGGCCTGACAAGTAACAATGGTGGTTGCAGCTCTGGTCAAGGACTGCCAATTGTGCCGCTCAAGGTTAAGTGTCGAGGCATGAACAAAATAGTCACGACGTACGCTCTGTTAGACAGTGGATCTACCGCTTCATTTTGCAGCGATGATCTCTTGAAAGAATTAGGTATAGAGGGTAAAACGTGCCAAATTCAACTGGCAACTATTGACGGCGTACATGATGAATGTCAAACTGCTATGGTGACCCTAGAAGTTGCGAACTTTGAAGAGGATATCTGTATTCAGATTGACAATGTTTTCTCAACAAAGAGTCTGAATATACCAAGAACAGCGATTGCTAAGCAAAAGGATGTAGATTTGTGGCCACACCTCAATGGAGTCATAATGCCAGAAGTAATAGCTGATGCAAATGTCAACCTTTTAATTGGAGTAGACACTCCTGAGGCTTTGGAACCTAGCGCAATTAGAAACAGTGAAGGTGGTGGACCCTTTGCCGTGAAGACTAAATTCGGTTGGACCTTGAACGGACCATTTGGCAGAGATAATGCTACAGGTAAACGTTGCTTTTTCTCTAAATCGAATGCTTGTGATGAACAACTTCAACAGCAACTTTTGCAGTATTTTAACCGGGAATTTGACCAGGTGACAAGTGACAACAAGAGAGGTTACCAGTACAAGACAAACAAGCCTTGAAGATTTTAGAAGATTCCTTGCAGTTTGTTAATGGTCACTATCAAATGGCCATTCCTTGGAAGAGTAGTCAAACATGTTTACCTAACAATCGTGTAATGGCAGAACAGAGGCTTGGGTACCTGAAGAGACGTCTGACACGTGACCCAGCATTACGAGTGCGTTATACAAATTTCATTGATGACCTTCTTGTCAAAGGACATGCAAGAAAGATTCCTGATGCCAAGAAAGGATGCAGACAAGATATCACATGGTATCTCCCACATCACAATGTAGTGAATCCAAAGAAACCTGAGAAAACCAGAGTTGTCTTCGATTGTGCGGCGAAGTTTCACGGTGTATCGCTTAACAGCAATATATTACAAGGTCCAAATCTGACAAATTCTTTGGTAGGGGTTCTTTGCAGATTCAGACAAGAGCGAATTGCGCTAGTTGCTGATGTGGAATCTATGTACCACCAGGTATGTGTAGATCCTAAGGATACTGAGGCCTTGAGGTTCTTATGGTTTCCGGGTGGAGATTTATCAAAAGAGCCTGAGGAATACCAAATGGTGGTGCATCTATTTGGTGGAATCTGGTCAGCCTGTTGTGCAAACTTTGCTTTGAAAAGAACTGCTTTGGACAATACCAGCAAGTTTGACCCGATGGTAACCAGAACAGTTGACAAGAACTTCTACGTTGACGGTATGCTTAAATCAGTGAGAAGCACAGATGAAGCCATTTGGATGCAAAGACAGCTGACGGAATTGCTATCATGTGGCGGCTTTCACCTTACAAAGTGGAGCAGTTCATGTAGAAAGGTACTAGATTCTATTCCTCAAAATGAAAGATCAAAAGATTTAAAGCATCTAAACATTCAATATGACGCCCTTCCTGTAGAGAGAACATTGGGTTTAGAGTGGAACATCGAAAGTGACACATTCAGGTTCAAGATTAACAGTAAAGAAAGGCCAGCCACACGAAGAGGTATATTGAGCATTATTTCATCAATATTTGATCCACTTGGATTTGTAGCACCCTTTGTTTTGCCTGCAAAAAGACTTCTTCAAGCATCATGCAAAGATCTAGAATGGGATAAAGAGATTTCTGGTGAAAATCTGATAAATTGGAATCAATGGTTGGTTCAGATGCCGATGCTAGAGAATTTCCAAATGAGAAGATGCATTAAAGTACCTGAATTTGGGACTTGTATCACTCAAGAGATTCATCACTTTTCGGATGCTTCTGAGACTGGTTATGGCACGGTGTCATACTTGAGAACAGTGCATCAAAATGGTAAAATCAAAACTGCGTTCTTGTTTGCAAAATCTCGACTAGCACCATTGAAACGAATCACAATTCCGAGGTTAGAGCTCACTGCCGCTGCCTTGGCTGTAAAGATCGACACGATGTTGAAAAACGAGCTAGAAATCTGCATACATAAATCAATGTTCTGGACAGACAGTACATCTGTTTTGAGGTACATCAACAACAAAGACAAGAGATTTCATACGTTTGTTGCGAACCGAATAACAGTTATTCATGAAGGATCAGATCCTGAGCAATGGAGGTATGTGCCAACGAAAAGCAACCCCGCAGATGATGCGTCACGTGGAATGACAGCAAACGAGCTGCTTCGAAGTGAACGTTGGATCAGTGGACCGGAGTTTTTGCTACAGACAAAAGACAAATGGCCAAAATGTAATGTCAGCATTGCGGGGATCCCTGAAGATGACGTCGAAGTTAAAAGATTGGCTCAGTCAAACTCAGTCAATGTCAAGGTAAATGATATGACATCAATGATTTTCTCACACTTTTCAAAC